TGCGGCTCTCCCAGTGGACGAAGATGGAAAATGCTGGATGAAGAGGGCAGTCAAGCCCAAGGGATGCTGGGTACATGCTCAGCGGGTGTGCCTGGGACAATCCAGGCTCGGACCCCCTGCCCAGCCGCAGTCTCCATCCCTTCTCCTGTTGGGACACTTTAAAACGAACCAGGAGGATCTCCGTAAGACTGCGCTTCCAGGAGGCATTCTCACCACACAGCACGGTTCACGCGCACATTCTTCAGCTTCAAAACATGCGCACGTCACCGAGTTCCCTTTCATCGCCTCTGAATAAAGCAGCACATGCTGGGCGTTCCCTTTAAGATGAAGGGCAAGGGCTTGGGTCTTTTCCCGGTCACCCCGCCACACCCACCCCGAAACGCCCAAGCTCTGTATTCAGCAGAGCCCGCGGGTCCTCTCACCCTGTCTCTTCTCTGGGTGAGGTCGGCTACTGAGCTCAGGACTCTGACCACTGTAACCCCCACAGATGGCCCTGCCGGGAGCCATCGCCACCTGCCCTTGGAAAGACCCAGGTCAGAGCGACTTCACAACCTTGGCATGTTAGCACAAATGCCAGGTTGATGGAGCACCTGCAACTTCAAGTCGTACAAAACAAAAAACAAAACAAACAAACAAACAAACAAACAAAAAAGGTCAACCAAGCATCCATCCTCTTTGCAACTAGAGGAGGGGGTGGGGGACCTTTTTCTGCCCAGGGCCATTTGGATATTTACAGCATCATTCGAGGGCCATACAAAATTATCCACTTAACAATTAGCCTGCTACGTGTGGTCACACATTTCATTAACTCACCCCTGTTGCCTACACAGGGCCAGACCCAATGATTTCTCGGGCCTTCTATGGCCCGCAGGCCAGATGTTCCCCCATCCCTGACTACAGACAAACATGAGCAACTTTGAACCTGGCTACCTTGGCAAACCAAGGGACCCCATGAGGCCTGGAGAGCCGGGGGTGGGTTAGGGTGGGGCCTCCAGAAGCCTGCGGAGTATATTTCAGGAAGTAACTGAGTAACAGGCAGGCTCAGTGAAAACATGTGCTCACAGCACACGGCACACCCCCCGGGCGGCTGTGGGGTTCCCCAGCACACAATGCGGACCGGTCCTGGGGGAAGTCCCTGGCCATGGCCCAATTCCGTGTCGCTCCGGCTTCATGGAAGCCGAGGCGGGTGAGAGCCTTTCAATCCTTTCCTTGTCTTCCTGGTCTCTCCTGGTGAGCATGGCAGTGAGGGCTGAGGCGAAACAATACTAAGAAATGCAGAAACAACAGTCCTGGCGTGCTGTGTGCGAGGGGCAGGGCCGGAGCTCCCTCCTGGGGGCGGACGGGGGTTCAAGCCCAGCCTCTGCTCCTCGGCAGCTCCCGGCCACCTTGGCCAAGCGGCTCGGCCTCCCTCTGCCTGGCCGTTCTCCTCGGTGCCCTGGGCATGCCACTCGCCCGGGCGGCGGAGTGTTGGGCTCAGCACCCATGGGCACGTGCCCATCACCACTCACACCCGATGGCGTCAGCATCAGGAGTAGCAATGACGAGGCAGGCGTGGTGCCCGGGTGCCCAGGCGGGCGCCCCCACCTTCCTGCAGGGAGGGGTCCTCCTTACAGACAGACAGCGCCTGCGGCTGAGGAGAGAAGGAAGCGCCCCACACAAGCCCAGTGCAACCAGTGTCTGCCGGCCTCACCGGCCTCACTGGCCTCACCGCCCCGCCCCACCCTGGCTGGGTTACCCCATTACCTCACTCCCCAGCCCACGGGTGTGCATGAACGTGCAGCCTCTGCTTGTTTACAACCGGCACGGAAACCAGCGCTGCCTGATGCTTTCCACACGGCGCCGGCCGCACCCCGAGAAAGCCTGCAGCCTTGCCGGTCTCGAAAGGGTGCTCCCCGCGTGCTCCCCTGGCAAGCGTCCCTAAAACCAGCGCGTCCAGAGGCACCGCCCGCCCCTGCATAAAAGAAGTGCTTGGGGGAGTGGACTGACGATTCTCGGGGAAAAGGGGGGAGGGGGGGTGCGAGAAGAGACTGAACCAAAACTGTGCACCTGTGGATGAGGACAGTGGGGGGTGGGGAGAGGGCAGAGGGTGGGGGAGGAACCTGGTGGAGGGGAGCAATGGAGGGGGAAAAAGAGGAGCAATTGTAATGATCTGAACAATAAAGATTTATTTAAAAAAAAGAAAGAAAGAAAAATTCCAGAAATTAAAAAACAAAAAGAAGTGCTCAGCTGTCTCTGCGAAGCGCCTGTCACGGCATGAACCCCCAGACAGCGACCCCCACACAGGCATTTCCCGTGGCCCGTGGGCCGCACGCCCGCACGGAGCCGGTGGGCCCTCGGAGCCGGGCCGGGCGGGCAGGGCTGTGGCCGCGTCCATCCAGCGGAGGAAGCGCTGGCTGGGCCGGGCCACATCGCAGGAGAGGCTCCTTCTCTGGTCACACGTTCGGAGGAGCCGATCCCAGGACAAGGGCACCGGAAGGCGGGTGGAAGCTGCTCTGGGTGAGAGCATGGTCACCCTCAGGGGAGAGAGGAGGCCCGTGCTGGTCAGCCTGGGCGGGAGGCAGAGGGGGGCCTGGGTGTGTGTGTGTGTGTGTGTGTGAGTGTGTGCGTGCAGGTGAGCCCCACCGGCTAGGCAAGCACGGGCTCCCAGCAGCGCCCTCAGGGCGGGGTCCCTCTCCACGGGCCTGGAGGGCCCGGGCGGAGCGTGGGCCTGGAGGGTGGCATTGGAGCTGATGATGGAGACAAGCCTGCCTGGGCCTAGGGGTCTTGTGTGTAGTCACATCTTTGGTCACTTAGGTGAGAGCGGGGAGGGGGCGGGGGGGCCCACGGGTCAGCCTTCGGAGCATCTCCCTGACTTTGTTTGGCCTCAGCCTCCCTGCGGGCCCCTCAGGAACCAGGCCCACGTCGTGGCCGCCTCTGAGAGACGGGAAAGATACGGCCTGACACCGGGGGAGGCGAGGGGGGGAGTGGGGGGCGGGCAGTGTCCTCGAAATCACATCTGTGGCTCTTCGGTAACGTGTGCTGTGGGCTTCGTTGGTTTTTCCTTCTCAAGGAGAGCGTCTGCTCTTCTGAGCGGCCGTGGGCTTCTTCGCGAGCGTGCACAGTTCTGCAGCTGCAGTCACGCAAACCGTCCGTAGCCACCCGCCTTCCCGGCACCAGGGCCAGACCTCTGACCACGCTCCCTGCTGCTCCCGGCCTGCTCCTCCCCTGCACCCCGGGCCAGCCCCGGACGCTCTGTCCCCCTTAGCTGGGACGAGGGCAGCAAACACCAAGCAGGGCCTGCCCACCACAAAGGGCCCCGGGCCCATAGGCCTGTCATAGTGAGGGCGCTGGCTGCCCCGGAGGCAGGCCTGCGGGGTCTGCGCCTCAGTCCCCGCTGTGACCCCTGCTCACGCAGCCCCGTCCAGCGCTGCGGGCCGCGCCAGACTCAGCATCCTGCGTGGTTGCCGCCCGCTTCCTCCTGTCACCCCGATATCTCCCAGAGACTCCCCCGGGGAGGGGGAGGGGCTCTCCAGTGCTGTGGGCAGAGTCGGCTGAAACAGCACTTTGGGGACCAGTTCTGGGGAACTGCATACCCACAGCGTGGCCACCCCCCCATCCTCCCACAATCCCCCCTCAGGCCCATGCTAGGCCGAGGGTTAGGACCCTGCGCACAGTCAGGCTCCTGCCGCTGCTGCCCTTGTGACGAAGAGAGAACCGCCTCGGACCCGGCCACAGAAGATGGAGAGGAAGGCTGCGGGCCACCCAGAGCCCGGAGCTCTGACTGAATTGAAGACAATGAGCAGAGCTACATCTACCCACCCAGACCCTCTCCACATGGCCGCCCTCCACAGAGAACGCGGGCTGTGACCCTGCACACACACAATGGTAATGTCTCTGACAAACGCACAAGCAATATTCCTGCTGAGACCGGGAGGGGACCCACGCGGGCGGGCGTTCAGGCTCTGCCTCTCGACCTGGGGTCACAAAGGTTTCCCCCAACCCCCCGCTGCTGGATGGCACGCTTTTAACTGAATGTGCTTCTTTGGGATGCTTGACAAGATACTTTGCATTTTTTAAAGAAAAAAAAATCAATAAAGCTATTTATGGTATTTGACGGGCCTAATAAGTAATTTCAGCTTGTGGGAGGTTAGCAGCTGTAAAATGAACTCTCCATCCTATCTCAATGGCTCAAATCTGTGTATCATATTGCAGAATACACACCACACACACACACACACACACAAGTTCACATACCATATAGTTGGCCCACTTACACAGTAGAATTCGATGTTTTTGCAGTACGCTTCCAGAGTTGTGTGAGCCACGCCTGCCTCCCCCGTGGGACATTTCCATCACCCCCGAAGGAAACCCCGTACTCACAGCGTCATCACCATCTCCCGCCCAGTCCCGACGGCCACTGGCCGACTTTCCGTCTCTCTTCCGGGCGCTTCCCACAAAAGGAACCCCGCAGTCAGTGATCTTTAGTGTCTGGCTTCTGCCATCGAGCATAGCGCCTTCAAGGCTCATGCATGTGGCTCGTCAGAAATCCATTCCTTTAAAGGCCGGATGATACCCTATTCAGCAGTGTTTCCCAAAGTGTGGTGCGCGTACCCCCAGGGGTACGGGAAGAGTTTGGTGGGGGTACGCGTTGCACCGGAGTTTGGTGGGGATATGCACTGCACCGTGCTTAGCCGCGCCTAATTCTACGTTCTCATGAGTACGAGGGGCACTCAGCGTTACAAAAATTATAGAGGGGGTACACATGTGTCAAAAGTTTGGGAAACACTGCGCCTATTGTATGGCTATTCCACTTTTTACGTCTCCGCTCACCAGCTGATGCGCAGATGTTTTTAATGGAAGGCGTCTATGGTTCCAAATAACTCTAAGGCAGAATCAACGACCCCCGTCCGCTTCAGATTAGCTTCCTGGGCAAGGACAGGCCCCTCACAGGAGACCCCCCCCCCCCCCGTCACATCCCCACATCCGGCCCATGCATCCCCCCACCCCCCACCCCAGCTCACCTTCTCCTGGGCCGACCTGGCCGTGCTGGACACTTGCTGCACCGCCAGCTCCAGGGGCGGCTGCTGCGGGTCCTCGTCGAAGGCCAGGGACAGCGGGCCCTGGAAGAGAGGAGCGCGGTGAGGAGACCGGGCACGGGGGCGAGGCCTGCTCTTCAGGGGCGCTCGGGCTTCTGCTATAAGGCTCTGCAGACCTGTGCTTCCAAGCCAGGGGTCGGCAAACCCACTGGTCCACAGAGCCAAATATCAACAGGACAATTGAAACTTCTCTGGAGAGCCACATTGTTTAAACTTAAACTTCTCCTAACGCCACTTCTTCAAAACAGACTCGCCCAGGCCGTGGTATTTCGTGGAAGAGCCACCCTCCAGGGGCCAAAGAGCTGCCTGTGGCCCTCGAGCCGCAGTTTGCCAACCATAGTTCTCAGTACGGTAGCAGCAAAGGTCAATGATCAGCCAGTGCACGCACCTGTGCACACACCTGTGCACGCACCTGGCTGGCTCTCGCTCAGGGGCAGGTTCAGTGGAGGGACAGGGATGGGGAGCAGAGACTCCCAGGAACAAGGGCACGTCTGTCAGGATGAAGGCGGTGAGGGGTGTCCTGAATGCTCAGGCCCGAGGGGGGAGGGGGTCCCCCAGCCTGGCCTGTGGGTCTGCGGCTCTGGCACAGCACCTGGCCATGCACAGCGGGTGCCAGGGCTGCGTCCTCCCTTCCTCTGGCGAGAGCCCTGTTTTTAGAGAATTCCTACTTCCTGGTACCTGGCTGCTGGCATTGCACCTGAGGTGCCCCTTCTCTTTTCCTACACCCCCAGGTGGGTGGGCAGGAACCCTGGGGCTGGCCACCTCTCCCTGGAAGGTGGGACTCCTTGGCTGGCAGTGAGCCAGGCTGGTGGCTGCACCTCGCAGACCCCCGGGACTGCCAGCTCCTGCCCCCCGGCTCTTGGTGGAACCCAGCCTTCCACTCTGTGCGTCTGCTGCACCTTCCATTGAACTCCCCTGGGCTTGTCGGCCCACGTCCACCCAGGTTCTTGCAATTAAAACTTTCCCAGTGAGAGAGGTGCGGTTAAATGAATATGACCCCCACGGCAACAAGACTGGTGTTTTATGAAAAAACAAACCAGGATTTGGGTAGCCAACCAGGTCTTGTCCTTTTTAAAATAAATCCTCTTGAGCCCAGTCGGTGTGGTTCAGTGGCTGAGTGTCAACCCATGAACCAAGAGGTCGCAGGTTCGATTCCCGGTCATGCCTGGGTTGCAGACTCGCTCCCCGGTGTGGGGTGTGCAGGAGGCGGCCGCTCAATGACTCTCATCATGGATGTTACTCTCTACATATTCCTCTTCCTTCCTCTCTCTTTAAAAAAAAGATTGCCCTAACCGGTGTGGCTCAGTGGATAGAGCATCAGCCTGCGGACTCAGGTTCGATTCCGATAAAGGGCATGTACCTTGGTTGTGGGCACATCCCCAGTGGGGGGGGGGGTGCAGGAGGCAGTTGATGGATGTTTCTCTCATTGATGTTTCTAACTCTCTATCCTTCTCCCTTCTTCTCTAAAAAAATCAATAAAATACGTTTTTTTAAAAAAAATCAATAATAAATATTTTAAAATAATAATAAATAAAATAAATTTTCTCAAGAGGCCAACAACACAATCTGGAATGAAACTCTCCTTAAACCGCTTCCTGACGTGTATCGTGGTCAAGTAAGTTCTGACTGGCTGCAAGAAAAAACGCCCACCCCCCAGCTTCCCTCCACTGTCCATCTACCTCAGAGATTCTGCGTGGAGAGCCCGTTCCAGCTCTGAGACACGATCGGGTGGGAAAACAAAACTCTGCAAGAGGCGCCCACGCCCTGCTGGCAAGTACAGCCCCAGCGAGAGGCGGTGTCCCCTTCAGGGGCTCCTTCTTAGGAATTCCCGGGGACCCGAAGGACGCTCACAGGCACAGAACACTTTCAGTTCCACACTTCCACCCCGCCCTGTGTTAGCCACACCAATCTCACCCCCCAAAAATCACGGGAGGAGAATTAAACCTGCTCCCCAAGAGCGATGTAGCCACAGTTTCGGCCGCTGGGCTGACGCCCTCCGGGGCTGTGCTTGTTATGGTGTGGCCTGCTGGCCAGGGGGATGCCATGAGCCTGGACGTGACCTGGGTCCGAGCACGGGGTCATCCGGCAGAGAGACCAGCACGGAGCGCAGTGCCAGGCAGGGAAGCCACAGGAGGGCTGGCAGCTGCCGGAGGGACAGCTCGAGGGGAACAATGTGCCTCCTGTCCCAGGCTGAAGAGCCACCAGCCGGGACACAGGCTCCTGCCCTGGGCATCAGGGGGCGCCGTCCACAGCCTCCCACCTAGGGCAGGCCCCTTATGGATTAAAACCCTGGGGAAGATTCTAGCAGAAAAGGTAATGTCCAAAGGCGGCCTCACAAAGGAAGTAAATTAAGTCAAAACGAGGACGCAGGTTCCCTTTCCCTTTCCAATGGCCTAATCCTCGAGTTTCGGGAAGGCAAGGGTGTGTACGACACCCAACCACGAACTCCCACACGTCTCGTGCTGTCCACGGGCAGACAGCCCCCACGGCAGATGCCACCCCGCTTAGACCAGAGCCGGACTGTACGTCCACCTGGGAATCGCCGGGAAAACACTGGAAAAGGGAAACGGAGAGGGGGCCGAGCCCTGCCACCGTCAGCACACACCACAGACCCTCCACGTCTCAGACCCGCACCCAGGCCAGCAGACGGGAACAGGAAGTGCCCAGCAGACCCAGATACAGGAGCCAACGCAGCAGGGGGCAAGGTGGCATCCCGATCACTGGGTAAGGACGGGCTCTCTCTTCGATCAGGATGTGCAGCCCCCGAGGGAACACCAACTGCATTACCGATGGCTGCCATAACCCCCCAAGGGGTGGGGAACACGCCCCCAGCCTCAGACACTCTGGGCAACAATGCCTGACCGCAGATGAATGCCATGACCTAGGCGGTAAACGTGTTTCTCTACTCTAGACTCCAGGTTGGTAGTGGGCAAGCTCATTTGTCCACAGAGCCAACTATCAGCAGGACAACGACGGACATTTCTTTGGAGAGCCACATTGTTTAAACTTCAACTTCTTCTAACGCCACTTCTTCAACATGGACTCGCCCAGGCCGTGGTATTCTGTGGAAGAGCCACCCTCCAGGGGCCAAAGAGCCGCACGTGGCTCGCGAGCCGCAGTTTGCCGACCACGGCTCTAGGTGGATGCTAGAATGGACCAGGTAAATAAATAATTCCCAGACAACAAGGGCCGATGCCTTCCTCCTGGGAAGAAAGTCAGAAACACTGGAAGGGGAAGATAAAGCGGACTCGGTGCTGTTGACCTGGAAGACAAGGGATCCGTATAAAGTCCTGGTGCTGAAGACACAGACAGAAAGAGGAATACATGTGCGTGAGTGTACATACAGCACACGTCTGGACGCACATACATTTCCCAGCTCTGTCCACTAAGGAAACATCTAGGAGCGAGGAGACCCCAGCAGTCATGACCCTGGATCTTGGTCCCTAAACACTTCTCCACAAGAAGGCAGCGGGGGCTGCCTGAGAGGCTGAATCCAGGACCGGAAGAAGGGAAAACACAAGATGAGTCCAGGAAAAAAAAAATCCGTGGAGCCACGGAGGAAGGAAGTGCTAAATACACACACACACACACACACACACACACACACACACACACACATATCTCCTCTGTCTGATGGCAGGAGACAAAGGCTACTACTACAGGGGCTGCTCGCGGCCAAGCAACAGTCAACGAAACAACATGGCAAACAGCGAGCGCTGGATTACACCGCATGGGATAAACTCAAGGACCACAGCCACCCTGAGGGAAATAACCAACCACACACATGCACGGAGGAGGAGCGGTCCTTTCTTGCAGTGGCATTCCAGTGAATAAACAGAGGAGAGATGAAAACAAACAAACAAACAAACAAACACCACCACTAAGCAAGCTCCCTGGAAGTAATGGTGCAGACCCGTCACACAGACGGACGCCAGAGTCCTCGAGCCATGTGTGAGGGGTCACAGGATGTGCACGGTCTCAGAGCATCGCCACAAGATGTTGAACTCCAGAGAGAATGTTGTAGGAGGAGGGGCCATAAGACAGACGAGAAACCACCGTTACCAGGAGGTCAAGGCCAACGTCCCGTGCTTTAGCATAGGGAAAGGGGGGCATCGCTTGTGCAGTTTGCATTACCTCGGTCCAATCATCTAAAAACATCAAATTTGAGGGACATGGGGCAAAAGAATAATCAGTACCGTTCAGAATTATCCGGGTTGTGAGAAACCAAGAAAGAATACGAAACTGGTCAAGACTTCGGGAGGACTACGGAGAAGCGACCACTTAATGCCAGGTGGGACCTGGACGGACCGGGAACAAGAGAAGGGTCCCTGGTGGAAAAGCTGTGGAGTTCACAGGTCTTCAGAGCAGCTAAAGGCCATTGCCGACGGTAACGTCCTGCCCTGTTTACAATGCTAACATCACCGTACGGTGAATTATAGTAACACTGTACCACTGTTAATTTCCTGTCCTGTTACAATGTTCACATCATCGTACCATAAATTATAGCCACATGGTGCCAATGTGAATTTCCTGTCCTGTTACAATGTTAATATCATTGTACCAATGTGTAATTTCCTGTCCTGTTACAATGTTAATATCATTGTACCAAGGTGTAATTTCCTGTCCTGTTACAATGTTCACATCATTGTATCAATGTTAATTTCTTGTCCTGTTACAATGTTAGTATCAATGTACCGTGGATTATAGTAACATGGTGCCAATGTTAATTTCTTGTCTTGTTACAATGTTCACATCACTTTACTGTAAATTACAGTAACATTGTACCAATGTCAATTTCTTGGTTCTGATCATGATGCTGTGACTATGTGAGGCTGGGTGAGGAATACAGGGAAACTCTGAATTATTATTTTTTAAAAAATATTTTTATTGATTTCAGAGAGGAAGGGCGAGGGGGAGAGAGAGAGAGAAACATCCATGATGAGAAAGAATCATGGATCAGCTGCCTCCTGCATGGCCCAGACTGAAGATCAAGCCTGCAACCCAGACATATGCCCTGACCAGGA